ATTATTATTATTTTTTTCTTATTACAAAATTTCAAACACAACCCAGTTTCAGAAATTATCAAGATTTTCTTGATCACATTTGCTGGACTGATTTAGTTTTTATATATGCATTTACTTTTCATTATGGACATTTTCAAATGCACGCAAAGTAGGTTCACAGTAGAGTGGTGAATCCCTTTACCCAGAGTCCACCACCCTCAGTTTTCTGCTCTTCTTACTTTACCTATCTCCCTGCCCTCATGACATTTTTTTTCCCCTAACTTTTGTTTTTTGGTTGTTTAGCAGTGCAAACCTAGGGCCTTCACGTGCTGGGCAAGTGCTCTACCACTTAACTACACCCCAAACCTTTAGGGAGTTTATAAATGCAAATTCTGGACATCATGTAAATATGTCAGGATGAGTTTTAAAAGCATAACTTTAGTGTGGAGGCTCACCCCTGTAATCTCAGCAACTCAGGAGGCTAAGACAGGACTGTAAATTCAAGGCCAGCCTTAGCAACTTAGTGAGACCCTGTCTCAAAATAAAAAATAAGAAGGGCTGGGGATTCGGCTCAGTGGTTAAGCGCTCCTGGGTTCAATCTTGAGTACCAAATAAACAAAAAATAAAAAACATAATGAAGGGCTGGGGATGTGGCTCAAGCGGTATCGTGCTCGCCTGGCATGCATGCGTCCCGGGTTCGATCCTCAGCACCACATACAAAGATGTTGTGTCCGCCGAGAACTAAAAAATAAATATTAAAAAAATTCTCTCTCTCTCTCTTTAAAATAAATAAATAAATAATAATGAAGACTGTAGCTCAGGGTTAGAGTGTTTGCCTAGCATGCACAAGGCCCTGAATTCTATCCCCAGCAATATAAAAAAATTTTTTGTTAAAAAAGCATAACCACATCTGGGTGTAGTGGTGCATACCTATAATCCCAGCAGCTGGGGAGGCTGAGGCAAGAGGATTGAGAGTTCAAAGCCACTCTCAGCAACTTAGTGAGGCTCTAAGCAACTCAGTGAGACCCTGTCTCTAAATAAAAATATGTATTTAAAAAAATTTTTTGTAGTTGTAGATGGACAGAAATTTTATTTATTTTATTTTATCTTATTTTATTATTTATATGGTGCTGAGGATCGAACCCAGTGCCTCACGCATGCTAAGCAAGCGCTCTGCTTGAGCTATAGCTCCAGCCCTAAAAATATTTTTTTAATATTCTATTTTATTTTTTAGGTGTAGATGGACACAACACAATGCCTTTATTCTTATGTGGTGCTGAGGATCGAACCCGGGTTCCACCCGTGCTAGGCGAGTGCTCTACCGCTGAGCCACAATCCCAGCCCCTAAAAATATTTTTTTAAAGGGCTAGGGATGTTGCTTAGTGGTTAAGCATCCCTGGGTTCAATCCCCAGTACCAAAAAAAAAAGCATAACCACTCCAGTTGTGGTAATGCACACCTTTAATCCCACCAATTTAAGAGGCTGAGCAGAAGAATTGCAAGGCCAGCTTCAGCAATTTAGCGAGATCCTGTCTCAAAGTAAAAAAAAGCATAACCACTGTCAATATCACACCCAACAGAATTAAAACTAATTGCTTAATATCAAAATACCCAGTATATTCAATTCACACAGGTGTGGACTTCACACACACCACTGGCTTGGCCCAGGAGACCTGGATGTTCTTGGGCCAGTCCAGAGACAAGGAAGCTAATTAACACCCAAACAACAGACTGAATGCAGTCTGAACCTGGAGATAAGATTCCTAGAAGGAACTGTCTCCCCAGCTGAGGGAGGCTGCTGGGAACTGGTGGAGGTCAGGGCTATGCACTGAAGTCTCTAAAGCTGGACCTGAACCAACCTGTCCTCCTCGCCACCCCCAGGACCAGTCCATGAACTACTCCTGCCCAGGGCTGATGTGTGTCTTCCAGAGCTACGCATCCACAGGCCTAGCACAACGTTCTCTCTTCAACCTGCAAATCTATGGGGTCCTGGGGCTCTTCTGGACCCTTAATTGGGTATTGGCCCTGGGCCAGTGCGTCTTGGCTGGGGCCTTTGCCTCCTTCTACTGGGCCTTCCACAAGCCACGGGACATCCCCACCTTCCCCCTGAGCTCCGCCTTCATACGCACCCTCCGGTAAGCCAGAGGAAGGACCCTGGGAACTATGAGCAATAGAGACCCAGGAGTCCTGGGGCCACTAATTTCCTAATTCCTTCTGCAGTTACCACACTGGTTCGTTGGCATTTGGAGCCCTCATCTTAACCATTGTGCAGATAGCTCGGATCATCTTGGAGTACATTGACCACAAGCTGAGAGGTGAGCCTGCAGTCAAGAGCTGGGGAAGGCCGGGCTGAGCATCTGGATCCTTGGGGAAAAGCATTGACCAGACAGGAGTTTCCCTTCCTCCCAGGAGCCCAGAACCCTATGGCCCGCTGTATCATGTGCTGCTTCAAGTGTTGCCTCTGGTGTCTGGAAAAGTTCATCAAGTTCCTGAACCGCAATGCATATATCATGGTGAGCTACCAGGGGCAAGCAACTCCTTGGTCTGGCACCCCTTGGCCTAGGCCCCCAAGCCAAATCTAAGAAAGCCCACCACATGTGACTGACCTTCCTACCCCCTCAGATTGCCATCTACGGGAAGAATTTCTGTGTCTCAGCCAAAAATGCCTTCATGCTGCTCATGAGGAACATTGTCAGGTCAGGCTGTCCTGCACTGCCATGTGGCTCCCCCTCAGGTCTCCCACCCTAGTCTGGCTTCCTAAGCACACTGCGTTCAGAAGGACCCTGAACTTGGTTTAATGCTTTGTTATAGCCATTTTGAAATGGGAATAACTTTGATTTCAAACAAGTCCCTGCAAATTATGTAGTCAGCTGTTCTTCTAGGCCTCTCACCCACAACCTACCCTAATTGCTGGTACAGGGTGATTGTCCTGGATAAAGTCACAGACCTGCTGTTGTTCTTCGGAAAGCTGCTGGTGGTTGGAGGTGTTGGTAAGGACCAAGATTGGGATTTGCAGAGTGGGGGTTGGAGGCGTGCTGGGGAGCTGGAAAGGTAACCTCAGAGGAGCAGCACTGATCTTGGGAACTCTCCCACAGGGGTCCTGTCTTTCTTTTTCTTCTCTGGCCGAATTCAGGGGCTGGGTAAAGACTTTGAAAGCCCCCACCTCAACTACTACTGGCTACCCATTATGGTGAGTGACTCTCCTCTGTGACTCAACCCCCAACTTCCCAAAAAAATCCCAGTAGCTCCAACCAGCCTTGTGTCTTCCAGACCTCCATCCTGGGGGCCTACGTCATTGCCAGTGGCTTCTTCAGCGTTTTCAGCATGTGTGTGGACACACTCTTCCTCTGTTTTCGTGAGTGATACCCCTAGCTACCTTCTCCCCAACCTAACAGTACCCTACTGCCAGGCTTTTTTGGAGATTTGGTGCTTCTAGAAACAGCAATTTGTGAGTTAAAGAAGCCAGAGGGAACCTCTTCTGAAATCCTAAGGCCAGGGGTTTGGGAAACAAAGGAGGGAGTGAATCCCCAGGCTGGTGGGCTCTCCCATGTGGCAGGCATGGTGGCACACACCCGTAATCCCAGCAACTCAGAAGGCTAAGGTAGGAGAACGGCAAATTTAAGGCCAGTCTCAGCAATTTAGAGAGCCCCTGACTCAAAATAAAAATTTTAAAAGGTGGGCATGTGACTCAGTGGTTAAGTGCCCCTAGAGGTTCAATCCCCAATACAAAAAAAAAAAAAAAAAATCCAGGTCAGTCTGGGAAACTTAGCAAGATCGTGCCTCAAAATAAAAAATAAAGGGTTGGGGTTGTGGCTCAGTGGTAGAGTGCTTGCCTCACATGAGGCACTGGGTTCAATTTCGATTCTCAGCACCACATATAAATAAATGAATAAAATAAAGGTCCATCAACAACTAAAAAATAATAATAAGTAAAAAGGGCTGGATGATGTAGCTCAATGGTAGAACACCCTGGGTTCATTCCCCAGTGTTGGAGGACAGGGGAGTCACAAGAGAGACTTCCCAGCAGGTGGCTGTAATGAGAGGGTATTTTCATCCTACAAAGTACATCCATTTTATTAATTTTTTGTATTATTTATTTGTTTTTTTGTTTATTCCGGGGATGATACATGCCTAAGCAATTCATGTGTGCGTCTGCTGCAGATAGGATCCAGGGCCTTGTGCACACAAAGCACATGCTCTACCACTAAACTACACCCCTACCCATGCGCTAAGCAGGTGACATGCTGCTTAATCTTTATGACTCTATGAAATACATTCCTGAGATTACATAACCTGCCCTGTAGATCACAAAATCTGCCTGAAAAACATCAGCAGGCGGTGATACCCCCGGGACTGGAAATAAGCGGCTAGTTTCGCAGTCCCAGCAGTCCCAGATTATTTCCCCCTGGGCATGGCCCCACCAGGGTTCACTCTAACAACGCTATGTTATGGCTAGTGGAAGACCTGGAACGGAACGATGGCTCCCTAGACCGTCCCTACTACATGTCCAAGGGCCTCCTCAAGATTCTGGGCAAGAAGAACCAGGCGCCCCCTGGTGACAAGAAGAGGAAGAAATGAGAGACCAGGCCCTGACCCAGTACTGCACCACGCCTGCACAGACGCCCAGTCACATTATGCCTTACAGACCCCGATTTTGTAGCTAAATGATTTTATTAAAAGATTGATTATTTTTTTCTCAATAACTGTTATTTTTATTCCCTCCAAGACCACACGGTGCCTCTCGCATCCCACCCACCGCCGGTACCTTTAAATTAGGCCCCGTCCCTGTTACACCTCCCTAAACTTCAGCCAATCACAAGGTTGATACGGTGTGAGTCCGCCTTCCTCACGAGGGCCAAAAGAACTTCCCATCCGGGTCACGCGCTAACGCCCTTCATAGCGGACCAATCGGAAGGGCAAGTTCCAAGGCGCGCGGCTTGACAGAGGGGTCAGAGTGCCTGAGGACCAATTAGAATCATGGAAGCGCCGCGGGGCCGCTCGGTGTGGGGCGGGTTTGGAGGAGAGGTCTGAATGTTTAAAGAGCCGGGGTCAGCTGACAGACTCCGGCCGGGGCTGATTTGGGACTAGGGTCTCCGCTGCTGTGGAGAGATATGACAAGGGAACAACCGGACACAGAGATCCGGGGCAGACCCGGGAGACCGCGTATGCCGGGCTCCAGAGAAGGTTGTGGGTTTCGGCTGTTTGCCGGGTTCTTCCAGCTGCTGTTGTCCCTGACAGTATTGGAGGCTGGGGCTAAGAATGACTTCAGTCTGGTGAGTCGCCGCTTTCCGTAGCTCCGGCCTCGACACGCGCGGGTGATCCCTACCCCATGTCCACCGGGAGACGGTTTGCTGAGCCGCTTCTTCGCGGCGGGACTTTTCCCCCTTTCCTAGACCTTGTTCTCTCAATCCGCTTCCAGCCTCTTGTCCTCTCTGGGTCTCTGTCCTCCTCATTCGAGCCTCTTCCCTTTTGGGGGTCTCCATCCCTACCTAAGGGTTCCTTCTCCACTTCCCTGTTCTGAGCCATCAGCTTCACTCCAAGCTCTCCTTCGGGTTACCCTTTCTTGTTCTGGTCCCCCACCCCTTTTCAGGATCCCCAGTACTCTCCCTCTAGTCGGAACTGAGTTGAAGCTGCCACCCACCTGTCCTAAAACCACAAGTTAAGCTTGTCTCTTTTGCCTCTTCCTCCTCCCTTGCAGGTACAACCAATAGTGACAATGGAACAGCTCTTATGGGTGAGTGGGAGGCAAATCGGCTCAGTGGACACCTTCCGCATTCCGCTCATCACAGCCACTCCTCAGGGGACTCTTCTCGCTTTTGCTGAGGCCAGAAAAAAGTCTGCATCTGATGAGGGGGCCAAGTTCATTGCTCTGCGAAGGTCCACGGACCAGGGTATAAAGATGTCTGAGTTCAAAGAGCTGGGGCTATGTTGGGTGGATTGGAAGGATCCTTATCATCCCAAGACCCCTGAGGATAGGGAAACTTGGAGGGATGAGGTCGGAGTTCCTCAGGGATGGGGGAAACCTAAGGAGGAAAAGTGCCCATGGCAGTAATCTGGGTGTTGGGATCATCAAGGAGTTGAACATTTGTCCAGTGTGAACATTTGTTGAGCACCGGCTGTATACCAGGCATTAGTGTAGGTTCTGTGAATATAGCCATGAACAAAACCAACCTAAAATCCCTATCTTCGTAGGACTTACATTCTATTGGCAAGAGATAGGCAATAAACATAATAATTAAATAAATTTGTTTCTTATGTGGGGAAAGGTGATCAAAGCAATGGAGAAAAAATGGGGCAAAGGCATGGTGATGAAGCCAGGCTTAGTGGTGCACCCCTGTAAACCAATCTACTCTGGATGCTGAGGCAGGAGTTTGCAATTTTGAGGCCAGCCTGGACAACTTAGCAACACTCAGTCTCAAAATAAAAAATAAAAAGGACTGGGGATGTGGCTCAGTGGTAGAGTACCCTTGGGTTAAATCCCAGCACACCCCCATCCCCCAACACACACACACACACACACACACACACGAGTGATAGAAAAGGTATGTTCAGAGCACTCACTCTGCATTTCTTCCTTTTTTTTTTTTTAATAGGTAGCACATGGTCTTCCACAAAATTCATTATGGATGATGGGGAGACAGCTGATGGGCTGAACCTGGGGGCAGTGGTGAGCGATGTTGAGACAGGAGTAGTGTTTCTTTTCTACACTCTCTGTGCTCACAAGGTCCACTGTCAGGTGGCCTCTACCATGTTGATATGGAGCAAGGATGATGGCATTTCCTGGAGCCCACCCCGGAATCTCTCCCTGGATATTGGCACTGAAATGTTTGCCCCTGGACCAGGCTCTGGCATTCAGGTCTCCATCCTGGGATATGGGTGGAGGGGGCTGCCTATTGGAGAGTCTAGCTGATGACCCCAAGTGGACTTTTTCCCAAAGGGAATACCCTGTCAAATCAGATTTTCTGTCTCAGATGGGATTCTTAGGTGACAAGATCATCCTGGGAAGAACACCCTGCCCAGGGAAGGCGGGACTTTACCTCTGGCTTCCCACTTGGAGAATAGGACTGCCCTAGTCTATGTGATACCTTTATGCAAAAGAGAAAAGGATTCCCTTCCTTATGGCAGACTTAAGCCTGTGTTAGTTCACAGCTTGGTGAATGAGCTCATTTTGGGTTTAAGCTTCCATAGCAGGGGCCCCAGTATGCACAACATATCCAGTAGTAGACCTGATGACCCAAGAAGAGCTTCTCAGTTCTGTTAGTCTATGCTTGTGGAATTCTGGAACTGTCAGTGAAGGACATACTGAAGGGACAAGCATGTCCTCACATGTGAGGTAGTGAACTCCTATCCCTGCCTCTGAGCCCCTACAGAGTCCCCCTTTGTAGACACCCAGTTCTGCTTCCCACAGAAACAGCGTGAGCCTCGGAAGGGCCGGCTTATCGTGTGTGGCCATGGCACACTGGAGCGAGATGGTGTCTTCTGTCTGCTTAGTGATGACCACGGTGCTTCCTGGCGCTACGGGAGTGGGGTCAGCGGCATCCCCTATGGCCAGCCCAAGCGGGAAAATGATTTCAACCCTGATGAATGCCAGGTCAGGAGTCCATGGGAAGTTCCCCATCATTCAACCTGCCCTATCCTCCAGAGCACCATTCCCTCCACAGAGCCAAGACTGGCTGCCCAACTCTGCCACCTGACCTTACTCCCTTCAGGAACAAAGGCATTTGCCCTGCCCCCTCCCCTGGTCCTTCTGAGGCCCTGCTCTCTCCTCTTAGCCCTATGAGCTCCCAGATGGTTCAGTCATCATTAATGCCCGGAACCAGAACAACTACCACTGCCACTGCCGGATTGTCCTCCGCAGCTATGATGCCTGTGATACACTAAGGCCACGGGATGTGACCTTTGACCCTGAGCTGGTGGACCCTGTGGTAGCTGCAGGAGCAATAGCTACCAACTCCGGCATTATCTTCTTCTCCAATCCAGCCCATCCAGAGTTCCGTGAGTACCTGAGGGTGGGCTCAGCAGGGGGAGCACCTGCATTTAGATAAGGCCTGCAGAGCAGAGACCCTCCTCCCCCTGACTCTTTGCACTCTCCCCAGGAGTGAACCTGACCCTGCGCTGGAGCTTCAGCAATGGTACTTCATGGCAGAAAAAGACTGTCCAGCTATGGCCAGGGCCCAGTGGCTACTCATCCTTGGCGGCCCTGGAGAGCAGTGCTGATGGAGAGGAGCAGGCCCCCCAGCTCTATGTCCTGTATGAGAAAGGCCTGAATCACTACACAGAGAGTATCGCCATGGCCAAAGTCAGTGTCTATGGGACACTCTGAGCTGTGCTCTACCCCAGGGGTAGAAGGTCCTAACTCTGCCTGCAGAACCATGGATCTAAGAGAGTCTGCTGGGAGTACCTAAAAGACAGTTCCATCTTCCTTTGGATTCTAGCTTTTTTTACAAAATCAACTTCTTTTTGACAGGGAAATCACTCCGTTAGGACTAAAAGCCCAGCTTCCTCTCCCACACAGGAAGTTCTGCCCTTACCTGGGGGCACTTCTTTTACATATCGCTGGGTATGGTGTCCCCTTACCCTTTCTGCCCTTCCAGGATAGTGACTGGTTCTTTTTGTGGGCAGGGCTGGGTTGGCCCATAGATTTGAACAAATGTGAACTCAGGGAACTAGGAGAAGGCTGAGCTTTCTTTTAGGGGTTGGAATAAAGAGGATTGTGAAAGTCCCTAGAGGGCAAGATACTTGGTTTCGGGGTAAGGAACCAGGTGTACCCCACCCTTTGACTATTTATGAATGAAAATCTTTGTAACTTAACATTTTTAATGAAAGAAAATGAACATTTGTAGAGTGTCTGGTTTCTGTCAGTGCACATCCTCATGTACAATTGTGAGACTGGGAAAGTATTTTGAGGAGGGAGCTAGTGTGCTTATTGCTTGGAAAAACCTGAATTTGGCAAATCAAATCTTCCTTTCCCTCTGACATTCCCTCTCATCACAGAAAACAGGTCAATCTTAATAGGTGCAATGAGGAGTAGGAGAGAGAACTCCATAAGATATTTTGAAACCTGCTGTGTTTCATATTCCTAAGATGAGGTGGAATACTTTCCTCCATGAAATAGGGAGCAGGTCTATAAAATCAGATGGGAAGACTGTTCCAGGCCAGCATGATGAGAAGTAAGCACTTCCTTAACAAATTATTTGACAAAATCGCACCTTTATCCTGAGGCAGATGCTACAGAAAGAACAGAGCAGCCTTCTGGTAAATGGTAGAGCCACAGCTTTACTCCATGAGGAATGAAAATACAACACCTCAATGGGATGTTAAGAGCGTTCAGAGGGGGCTGGGAGTGTAGTCAGTGGAAGACCAAACCCAGGGTTTAATTCCCAGCACCATAAATAATAATAATAATTTAAAACAATATTAAGAGGCTGAGAACTTCGTTCAGTGGCAGAGTTGAATCTCTAGCTCTGCAAATAATAATATTAACTAATATTAAGATTTTTTTTTAATTCATAAACATTTTTAAAACAAAAGTGGGGGACAGGGGATGGAGTGGGAATAGTTCCCATGTCACAAAACTTTAAGACAAGTTCTTACTACGTTACCCAGTCATATCTTAAACTCTTAGGATTAGGTGATCCTCCTGCGTCAGCCTCCTGAGTAGCTATGTTTATGGGCATATGCCACCATGCCTGGCCAACGTCTAGCTTTAACAGTTATCAAGATGTTGCCACATTTGCTTCTGTGTTTCTGCTTCTTATGTTCCTATTTTCTTTTCCTTTGCTGAATATTTTAAAACAAAGCCTAAACTTCATTTCATTCACCCCTACATTACTAGGTATTCATTTCATTCTTTGAAAATGAAAATTTTACTGCATAATCATAATGCCATTTCACACCCCAAAATTAACAATAACTCTGGTATTGTCTAATACCCAGAAAATATTTAAATCTCATCAAATGTCTCAAAATATGGGTTTGGTTTTTTTTTTTTTTTTTGGGGGGGGGGTGGTACTGGGGATTGAACTCAGGGACACTTGACCACTGAGGCACATCCCCAGCCCTATTTTGTATTTTATTTAGAGACAGGGTTTCACTGAGTTGCTTAGTGCCTCACTATTGCTGAGGCTGGCTTTGAACTCGTAATCCTCCTGCCTCAGCCTCCTGAGCCACTGGGATTACAGGTGTGAGACACTGTGCCCAGCTGGATATTATATTTTGATGTCAAGTCTTAAGTCTCTTTTAATCTACAGCAGTCCTCTTCCTCTCCTCTTTTTTCCTTATTAATTTCTTTTAAATGCCATTTAGACATACAGTTATTTCTCCTATAGAAAAATCCATTCTCTGGATTTGTGGGGGGTTTTGTTTGTTTTGTTTAGTTTTGTTATTTATTTATTTATTTATAGTTATAGATGACAGCATGCCTTTATTTTATTTGTTTATTTTTATGTGGTTCTGAGGATCAAACCCAGTACCTCACATGTGTGAGACAAAGTGTTCTGCCACTGAGCTACATCCCCAGAACCCCCAGCCTTTTTTTTTTTTTTTTAATATTTTATTTAGAGACAGGGTCTCAATGAGTTGCTTATGGCCTCACTAAATTGCTGAGGCTAGCTTTGAACTCAAGTTCCTCCTGCCTTAGCCTCCCAAATTCTGGGATTACAGGCATGTGCCACTGCGCCTGGCTAATTTGTCTTTTTTTTTTTTTTTTTTTAATGTCATTTAACTTCTTCCACTGTCCTGTGTATTTGCAATTATTCAACCTTCAAAGATTTGGTTGGATTCAGATTCTATTTTAGAGGAGCAAGATGACTTTCCGAGTACTGTGTGCTTCCTACTGTACCCCATGGGACATTCACTCTCTGTTTGTCCCTCTCTGAATAAACTGAGATGGAACAGTGGATTCAGATGTCCATTGTCTGATCCCCTCCCTTGTAAGTTTCCACCATCAACGTTCTAACTATCAGTTTCACCCACAGATGAGTGTTGCCTAATTCAGTTATTTCAAAAGGAGTTGCAAAATGGTGATTTTATAATTCTGTTGTTTCTTCCTCATTTATTAGCTGAATTTTCAGCAAAAAAAGGAGCTTTCTCTCATCAAATGCTTTGGTTCCTATAACATAGTTTGTATAGGAAAGGCAGGATACATGCAAAAGTTTACCCTTAAATTACCATTCTCAAGGTAAAGTGATGTAATACATTGACTTGTTCGGTAAACCACGGTTACCCAACAGGACACACACACACACAGGCCTATCTATGGGCCTGTAAGAAGTAGGGAGAGAATCTGAGGGAATATGAATGGGAGATCAACATACCTAAGATGGAGTACCGCAGATGTCTAATACCACTAAAAGTGGTATTTTTTTAAAAAGTACTTTTAATTTGAAACAGGGTCTCACTAAGTTGCTGAGGCTCAAACTTGTGATTCTCCTGTCTCAGCTTCTGGAGTCACTGAGATTACAAGTGTGTGCCACTGAGACCAGCTGATATGTTTTTTAAAAATACATTTCTTGTGGGCATGGTGGCAAATGCTTATAATCTCAGCCACTTAGGAAGCTGAGGCAGGAGGATTGTGAGTTCAAAGCCAGCCTCAGCAAAAGTGAGGCGCTAAGCAATTCAGTGAGACCCTGTCTCTAAATCAAATACAAAACAGGGCTGGGGATGTGGCTCAGTGATCAAGTGCCCCGAGTTCATTCCTGGTACAAAAACAAAAACAAAAAAAATATTTCTTGTACCAACTACTTGTGAGGCTGAGGCAAGAGGATTGAGACTTACTTAAGGGACAGCCTGGGCAACATAACATGACCCATTACAAACAATAGAAACCCATTTCTTTTTTTTTTTTTTTCTCCCCTTAAAACTTTTCTTTCTTTGTTTCTTTCTTTATCTGCCATATTATAGAGAAAAGTCGAGTTCTTTTTCTTCAAATCCTTTCCTTAAAATAATTCCAGTTATTTAATATGCACCCAAAGAGTGAGTTCGGAGGGATAGAATTGAATTATACATAATCTTGAAAAAAACACAATTTAAAGCTTCCCCTTTAATCTTTCTGAAAAGAAAGAAAAAATAGGATACTTTTTAAAAATTCTTACTGGATACTCCATGAGTCCCTAAGCCTGGATTTAGATATTGTCATATCAGAATACTTATATTATGGTTTTCAGGATATTTATACATTAACATACTAAACTTGGATTAGGCAGCATTGGCCACACATTGCCATCTACATGAGAGGTTCCCTAACTCCTGAGGCAGTCTACTCTTAGCAGGAATAAACTGGTTCATTCCTTGACAAATTAACAGTAGTTGAAGCATCCTCCCAGCCTCTGATAAGGAGAGGTATTCTTGCTTCTAGGGATCCCTGAAGCCTTTCAGTCTTTTTTTTTTTTTTCCTTCTGAGTGTTCCTCACATAGATAAACTCACTCTTTTTTTTTTTTTTAATATATATAAATTTTTAGTTGTAGATGGACACCATACCTTTATTTTCTTGTTTTTATTTTTTATTTTCTTTATGGTGCCAGGGATCGAATCCAGTGCCTCACGCATGCTAGGCAAGTACTCTACCACTGAGCCACAATCCTTGCCCAAGAGGCCCACTCTTATCACATACCCAAAAGGCAAGGAAAGACAAACAGAGTTTGGGTCCTTTAACCCTTTATGAAAATAATATCTGTGAAATCTTAAATAATCTATATTTGCTTGAGAATTTATTTATTTATTTGATACCAGGGATTAAACCCAGGACGCTTAACCACTGAACCACATCCCTAGCCCTTTTTATATTTTATTTTGAGACAGAGTCTTGTTAAATTCATAAGACTGGCTTTGAACTCACCATCCTCCTGCCTCAGCCTCCTGAATCAGTGGAATTACAGGTCTGTGCCACCATGTCTGGTTCTTTCTGGTTCTTTTCTTTCTTTCTTTCTTTTTAATAGTGAGAATACAATGGCCTTCCTTATGGAGAGTTTTTAGGAAGGAAGACTTGGGTTGTTTGTTTGTTTATTTGTTTGTTTTTAACAGGACAATGTTAAGGAAAATCCAGTGGAAGATTTATTTAAGGCTGATGTATTATCCCATGATCAGTAAAGACAAACTCTATAAATTGGACAACTATCTTTTGTTTTATTTTTAATACTGGGGAATTAACCCAGTGGCACTTTACCACCGAATTACATCTCCAGCGTTTTTTTTGTTTTGTTTTGTTTTGTTTTTTAGACAAGGTCTTCCTAAATTGCTTAAGGCCTTTTTAAATTACTAAGGCTGAGAGCTGGGGTTGTAGCTTACTGGTAAAGCAACTCGACTGACAGGTGCAGGATGCTGGGTTTGATCCGGAGCACCATAAAAAATAAAATAAATAAATATTGAGTCCAACTACAATTAAAAAAAAATATTTAAAAAAAGAATTACTGCGGCTGGTCTCAAATTGACAATCTTCCTCTGAGTTGTTGGGGCTATGGGGTTACAGGTGTGCCCCACTGCTCCTGACCCATCACTATTTATTTGTTTGTTTGTTTATGGTACTGGGGATTGAACCCAGAGGCACTTTACCCACTGAGCTACATCCACTCCCCTTTTTATTTTTTATACAGGGTCTTACCAAGTTACTCAGCGCCTCAATAAATTATTGAGGCTGGCCTTGAATTTAGGATTTTCCTGCCTTAGCCTCCTGCATTGCTGGGATTACAGGTGTCCACCACTGTGCCCAACTCCATCATTAAAAAAATAAAAATAAGACTCTCCCCCCTCCCCCTCTCCTCCTCTCCTCTCTCCTCTCTCCCCCTCTGCTCTCTCTCCCTCTTTCCCTCTCCCCTCTCTCCTCTCTCTCTCCCCTCTCTCCT